CTCTACAAAGAGACACGCCAGGGCTGCCGCTGTTCTCATGCTCGCGCTGCCAAATGGTGCGGCCTACTTCTTAGGCGCGCACGGTCACCGCCCCGTGAGAGCACTGTGATTTCGACGACATGGGCCAAGTTCAGCCACGAGCACAACCTCTTTCTCTCCTTTTATTATCCCTCCGCCGATCCGGCTTTGTTGGACCCTAAAGCTGTGTTTGCGCTATCATATTTTGAAGCGAGACTCCTGTGAGGCTGAAAACTCAGCCAAATAGAAGCGCCTTAACCGAATGACCGCATGTTTTTCTTCTTCTAATAATATCCTACAGAGAAGAAGTACACTTTTTGAGATTCTGACATCTGACGTGAGTACTTTCTGGGAAACTGACCTAACCTTATGGATTTGCTCAGCATATAACCGAAAACTAAATCGTCCTTTACAGGCTGTCTGGGGTTACTTACTGTCCGCTGTAATACACGCTTGTCAATAAGGGGAAATAAATGGATAAGAGAGTCGGTTGATCGTATGGAAAACTTTTATGGATTTTCGGCCTTTGATTTTCTGTGGTTTCAGCTTTGAGCCTAATAAGTCGTATCCATCAGTTATACGAACAGATGCGCATTCCGTCTTTATTGGCTCTTCGTTGCCCAACTGCTCATGCTGCCGAATTTGCGGCTAAGTACACCAATATTATCAGTAGGATTACTTGGATTATGCGAATAATGAGCTCGTTTAAAATCACAATCTTTCGAATTCGTGAATTGGAAACAATCAGACAACCCACCCAGTGCCGCTTGCGCTTGCTGCAATCGTCCAGTTTAAAAGCCAAAGCGAGGAAACTAGCGGGTCCCTTCCCAACTGCGACTGTGTCTAAGGAAGAATCAGCGTATCTGCTCTCCATTTTCTTCTGTATCACTCCTCAGCGATCTCCATTGCTGCTGGTGCGTAAACCTGAAAGAGATCCAACTACGTGAGAGTATATCATCCACTGTCCACTCTCGAGATTTCTTACTTCAATTTTCACTTTACTTTTTACGTCTATAGCTTTTTGCTTCCAAAACAGATCCAATTATTAAAAATTGAAGCGAATGAGAGACTTCCAGGGGCCAGTTGCAAGGAAGAGGAAGGTGCGTTCAATGGGGCAGTAGGCGTGCTAGCCAGAAGCCCTGTAAATGCAACAGAAAATGAGAAATTTTGTAGCCAAAAGAGGAGAACGGGTGCATGGATGAAAGGTGGAAAATTTTCACGAGAATACTGACTTTCACGGCCTGACAACGGCGTGCGTACTTGGCTGGGAACTGGAGCGCAACTCCTGAGTATAACGTGTGATAGCAGAGAGGGGAAACAAAATATAAACGTGCCTGTTGGTAGAGTTTGTGTCAGATACCCAGGCCTGCAGCAGTTTTCGCCCCCTCCCCCTGTTTTATTGCTGACTACAGCGAGTACTCGCATGCTCGCAAATTTTAATGTATGACCTTCTTTTCAGCGTTGCGCCCATCCCACCTCAAACGGTCGACAGCTAGGCCGTTGCCTGTTGCTGGCGGTATGGATAGAGTGAGGTCGACCCTCGACGCGTTTCATTCCTCACTATAATGAATCCGATGCGCTTGAATCTATCCTGATGCGCTAAAAGCCGTGGCTTGGAGGGTTGCCAGCTGGCGAGTTAATTCGGATAACGCTGTCGGACCAGTATGTCTTGTTATGTGGTGTGGCTGTCTGCTGGCTAAGAGTCCGATTCAATGGCTTCTTCTTAATGTGGCCTTTATGACGCTCCCTATCGGGGACATACCTAGCGAGACGTGCTGTTTGGTACGCGTGTTGAGTGTTTGTCGCGCCAGCCGTCTGCGCCCCCTCCCCCGCATTTTATACCTTCTTTACTTTGTCTCGACACCGGTTCCCGATGCGGGAG